CGGGGAACTCTGCAAAAAACGCATCTTCGCACGGGCAGCCCGTGCGTTGGCCAATTTTATTTTTTTTTCATTTATCATTCAAAATTGTTTTTTTTTTCGTTGATACATATAACAATGAAACATCAGTTGATCAAAATATCAAAGTAGTATGCATGTCTGTGTATGGAATTATGTGCATGAGAGAAGCGCAAAACAGAAAAGAATGGAGAAGTTGCCAGCTGCATCAGTGACGAGAAGAAACGCGACAATGAAACAACAACTGCTCAGAAAGCTAAGATATAGGACCAGTTTGTCATTTATACTATATCACAGCGAACTGTTATGAAAATACGCTACAAAAGAGACAGTTGCAATAATGCGAGGTGCTGCAGTACGAGACGCGCGGGCGAGAGCAGCAAAATAAGGGGACTTTTTGAAAGTAGCATACTTCTATATCACATCCAAAAATACCAGTTAACTAATGGCCTGGTTTTTCAGCTGCGCAACTAGCAAATTTTCCACTTATTTTGATCAACACTCCATCGTTTGTAGGTCAGCCTTCTGGCGATCCTGACGTTCGTTTCGTCTCCTGCAGTAATTATCTGCTCAATGATTCTACAGACAGGCGCAAATGCCAAGGCTTTAGCCAATGCTCTGAAGTCCCTTGGACGACGCCGTTTTAGGAATATCAAGAAACTATCAAAAAACCCATAAAAACTACCAAAACCACGAACCCATCCTCACCTCAATCCCCAAATATGGTGCACTGCACATACTACGGGCAATTACTAAAACTCGGCTCGGCTTCGGTTGATGTACGAATTGCGAAAACTATTGTTTGGGATGGGAAGCGTTACCCAGGGTACTGAGTGACGTGGATTTGGGTAATGTTAGGTGGGGAGGGGGTGGTGTGGTCCAGGTTTCGGCTGTAGAAGCTCAGGACCGAGGAGGGCTTGGGATAAGCGGCTATGGGGTGTTCCTGTCTGAAGTATCTTCTGAGCAGGTGATAATCCCATCGGGAGACTAAGCGAAAATCAAAATTACGGGCAGTAGGGCTGGTCATCGGTCAGTGTACTACTGGTCAGGGCGCATAGGAAGAGGTACCAGACACCTCGTTGAGCAGGGGGGAAGGGACGGAGGGGAGGGAGACATGAGGTCCAGTTGCAGCACTGAACAGGGATGTATGCGACTTGATGGACCGAAACATTCCTATTCAGGTTTTTTCAATCCGATTTATCTTATTCACCTTTCTTTTATTCCCTTCCTTTTAAACCTTTACTTTTTACATAAACACACATCATCTAAAATTATAATGCTATAAATTAGGAGATGTTTTAGAGCATAAGCTGTTGTAGTGCTACCTTAGAGCTTCTTCCCGGTGGTTGACCGTAGTGACGGAGGCTGTCGAGGGCTCGGTTTTGTGCATCTTCGCGGTGTGCAGCTCAGATTTCCCTCTTAGTTACTTATCTGTCAGGACTTCAGGGAACGCTTTCACAATTCGGTGTTCGTTCTTCTGTCGTTGCCGTTTTCTGCGTTGTGTTCTCATTCCACCGTAAATATCCGATTGTTATTGGTTTTCCCTTGTGCCAGTGATGCGAAACGCCGAAGTACCGCCACCGCCACCCTCCACAGCAGCCCCACGGCATCATGCTCCGACAGCCGCACGCGTCGAACGGCCAGCGTTAGTTCTTTTTTCTTAAATCCGATATTGTAGAATGGGTGAGATTGTTGTCATGCAGTTCGATTATGCCGATGGAACAGCTAATCCTTATGCGATTGGATGGTAAATTGCTATTGGTTCATGCCGGAGAGTCAAATCCGTCATCAGCTTGCTTGTATGCAATCGCAGAAGAGGAAACCATCGACAGCTCTGCTAGGGCGAGACTGCTGTTGGCATTTACTACTACTCGGGCTGCTTCCTGAATGCTGCACTTCTCACTGAGAATGAAAATATCGAGGGGGTTTTGACTTTTGATATTGATATTGTAGAATGGAATGTTTTTTTTTCCACTGTTTTATCTCTCCTGGGATAGTGGTGCAGCCTGGAGGGGATTGGGGGGCATTTTGCCAGCTGGCTCCTCGTTTACGGTTTTGCTCGAATGTTATGTTTTTTAGCTTTTCAGGGATTGGTTTTTTTGCTCTTTGTTCTGTGTAACAGCAATACAAAACGCAGGTTGTCTGTACGGGGTTGTCTGTATGTGTGTGTGTGTGTGTCTACAGCAATTTGTCCCTAAATTTCAACTCGGGAACCACAAAAGCTAGGAAGCTGAAAATTTAGGATAATGTTCCTCACCCACTGTGACACCGCAAATTTAAATTCAACCTCCTCGTACCCACTAGTAACATGTATGACCCCGTGAAAATTTTGGAAGGTAAATTATTATCTCGCGAACCGCGGAATCTAGGAAGCTGAAATCTTGGGGAACTGTCTCCTACCCACATACAGCCTTTCGAATTTAAACTCAGACTAGTGAAAATCATTAGCAGGCAATCTTTCGGTGAACGGAATTGCACAAAACGCATGATCACACCGGCTGCCCCGGTGCACGCTGCTATTTCTTTCTTTCCTTAATGCAGTTTGGTTTTCCTGAATTGAAAGTACATTTTTTAATCGTATTTTACGTCCATTTTGCTTCTGGCTCAATTGTGCACCCGTCCTAGTTGAATTTCGTGCCTCAACTTTAACCCCAAACTGTTTTCGCTGTTTAGTTTTATTTCGCGTCCATCACTTTTTGTCACTGTTTCCTCGTTTTTCTGTTCACTCTCCTCAGTCCTAGCAGTGCCGTCCATTCAAGAAGTGGTTATTTTCCAGGAGAACCGATTTTTTATGTCGCGTGAAATACAGCAATACTTTACCGGACATTCCATTTGATACGAAGTTCCTGACGTGTCCGCTCGTTTCACTTAGCAGGTACCCACTCTTTTATCTTGCGCAAATATTTCAGGCTAATGAAGCATCGCTTTTGTGTCTAATGAAACAGCTCCTGCTAGCGATACCAACTTTTCCTTCATCGGACTTCAAAATCGAGCAGTAAATTTGGACGCTATCTTCTCTTTTGCTAATTTTGCCATTATCCAAATAAACTTATTTCCTACGTGGTTAATGGAAAGCTGTATTGATGATTCTCACTCCTACTGACTTCCACTACTTACCTGTGTTTACAGCTCGGGGATAAAATACAGGCAGTTTACATATATGTTACATGGCATAGTTACATGTGGCCTAGTTGCATAAATATCATCCTCCTTGAATTAACATTCAGTAGAATGACAAAAAGTGTGACCAAGTGGGGAGAGAACGCGGTGCTTCGTTTTAGAAGCGCAAATTTTCATTAAATCGGTAATTTTGGGAGAGTACTGTAATAGATTACGATGCCTTCGCCTTCATTTTGTCAACTGGAACAGAAATCGCTTAAGGGCAGCATGTTAAAAATGAGAAAACATCCTACCACTTATCAGGAGCCGCATTTTACACTTATAGAATTTCTAAAGTTTTGATAAAGCACCCTACCGCAGTTTGCATTTATAGAATTTTTAAGGTTTCTTTTTTTCCAGATTCACGGACTACAAGTTGTCGAGTTTGGAGAAGAATTTCAAATTTGATGTGTTCTGTGAGCCGGACTGTGGCGTCCATATTGATCTGATCAGACCTGAAACATATTACGTTGATCGGGATGCCCAGAACAAGGTTCAGTTTATTGAACACTAGTGATTTAATGCGGGAAACCGCTAACAAGCTAACATAAGTTTTGAGGAGTCGTTGAAAAGCTGCGAGCCCCTGAGCCCAGTGACATCGCCAGCTCCACATCGAGGCTACGAATGGTTTAGAAAATAATGAAGAAATCGAGCATTCATTCCTGTATTCTTGAGCTTTTTTAAATAGTTTTATAATTTTTCGATAAAAGCCGGGTTTTTTCCATTGCAGCATCATCCAACTGATCTCGAACTTCTGGAAGATGAGCAGACAAGTCAGCAGAACCTGCGCAGGTTCGCCGTACTTTTTCGCGTTTTTCGTAAATTTTTCAGCATTTTACTGTGGGAATGCAAAATAGCATTTTTTTGGGATAATTTTACAGATCTTTGCAACACTGCAAAATGGTCCCATGGATGAGAAAAACTGAGTATATCAGTTCAGAATTTACGAGATTTGGTGTATCAGCTGAAAGGCAAGAAACGAAGGTTGGCGTTTTTTTCTCTCCATCCTCTCCGACTTCTGTGCAGGCGGCAGAAAGGCCGAGGGTTCGAGAAATCGCAACATATTTTCAAATGCAGCTTATACAATAGTGTTCTTTCCAGTTCTCTTGAACGAGGGAGAACGCTCCCGAATCTGGTGATCATTGCTTGAACCCCTTTTCAGTTTACTGCTTTTGAGTAAAATTTGCCTTTAAAATTCAATTTTTCACTGAATTACTCATATAGCGCTTTCTGTCTTTCCCACTTAAATTTTCGGCACATCTGGAAAAACAAAATTTTTTTTGTTTCGACGTTGTCTTCTCAAATTCACAACTCAAAACAACAGCTATTGACGTGCTAAATTTACTGAATTTAGCAGGACTGGAACTCATAACTTTGTCGTGGGATCTTGCCAGGACGAGCGATGGCCTCTCCTCTCTTGCCGTTCCCTCTTCGCTTGAACTCCTTTGTTGAGTTAATTGTGTTGCTTTTAATGTTTAAAATTTCAGATTGGCTACAGCACAAAGAAAAAGTTCCTCACCGAAGTTCTTTACAGAGATCGTGCATCACAAATAGCTGCCATAAATAAAACATTTGTTGATGTGAGTCAATTTTTTCAATAAAAATTTGGTTGGGACCGTTTTAGGCTATCCTAAGTCTGAGGAGAATCTTTGCGAGCATTACAATAGGATGATTTTTCTTCGTAAATTGTCGCATTGTGAGCCTCAGAAAGGTTTTTGTTTATGCTTTGGAAAAATGAATAGGTGTTGTTTTCGTGTTTAAATTTTTTGAATTTTGAGCAGTTTTACATTCTTGAAAGTTAGCGTTATTTCTCGCAAAAATAAGGTTTTTTCGTCTCTTCAGCTCCTTTTTCCTTGGTTTAATTTTAAAACTGAGTGATATGTTTCTTGTACCTTACTGTTTGTTTTTTAGTGAAATTTAGAATATCCTACCAGGAATTGGCACCACGGTGGGCAATTTTGTTCTTCCACTTAGCTGGTTTTAGCATTTTTCTAGCTAATTCTGATGTTCCATATGTCAGTTTATTGCATTTTTTCAAAAAAAAGCCTTCGGCATCATCTTCAGATCAAAAGCTGGGCACCTTCTGGCCGAGCGGCGCCCATTTTGGGACAGCCGCCTCCTTCGGAAACTGAGTACGACCCCACTACTGCGGGTCTTTCACTTCTTTCAATAAAACTGAGAAATTTCTCGGGAAAAATTGTTTCAGGCTTCAAAACCAGTGCTGCATCATCCAACGAAAAAGAATGTGAAAGCAGTTGAAGAGTTCCCGCTGCTGCCTGATTTCGACGTAAGTACTGCACCCGCTTCGGAATCTGTTGTCTGGTTCCAGTTCTTTTTGCATTTTTTTACCTATAGCGATGAGAGCATTTCACCGCCAAAAGCACGCATAAGCATCTTTGAAAATCTTTAGAACTGACTCTGCTTGACATATAATTGCATTTCAGTAACACCGACAGCTCCTTATGCAGCCACGTTTCTTGGGAAAGAGCTTTTCTTTCAGGCAAACACGTGTCTCTTCATTTTTTCTCTATCGATTTTTGGGCTTTTTCTCCACGAGCTCGATTAATTTTGATTTTTTTTTTTATTTTTTTGAAATTAACAGGTGATTTGGAGAGACTGCTTCCTGTTGACGGTGAGCCCACCTCCGCCAGCATCCCTATAACCTTCTTCCATATCGAACAAAATCGTTTTATTTCCCCTCATGTTAGGATTTGTCCTGTCCTTGGCCATGTTCTTTACACACATATGCACATACTGTGAATCGCATGATGTTCCACGAAATTCTTAGAAGAGGTATGTGTGGCTTCGTCCTTTGAAAGCATGTTACGGCTGTAAATGCATGTTTGGGGTTTCTCGCCTTTTCTTGGCGGTATCGTTTACACCGATCTCTCAAGCGGCACTAGCATATTTTCAGTGCATGCCTTTTCACGAGTCTGTTAAATTAATAGTGAAGTGAAGTGCATTTGTTCTTCTCAGCTACTTTTTAGCAGTAAAATTGTTGCTTGGGAACTGCGACAATAGTCTTTCATGCATTCCTGCCAGACATCTATATCTGAAGCACTTCTTTTGAGGAACCCTCACAGCAGTGGGCAAATTTGAACGTACTGATTGTTGCTTATCCTCCCTTAATGCTTAGAGCCATGGGCAAGAACAGTGTATTTGTTAATTTTATAACGTTACAAAGCGCATCTTTGCTTTTCAGAACTGGATGCACCCCTTTGCACTGGTTATTTTCGATGGTGATCCAATACCACAAAGCGCGAGAGGCGATGCGCAAAGATTAATGCCACAAGCTCTTATTCGGTTACTTCCTTCATATGTTTTCATTGTGTGTACGTGTATGCGTACATGCTTTTGTTTCATGTGCTTTAATAGTTGGTTCTTGAGGAGTATGTGCTTTGATAATTGCTTCTTGAGTTAGTTCAGTGACGGGATGAAGAGAATATTTCAAATTGGCGCTAATGCGCTGTTTATTTCTTTACCATCACTTATTTTAGACTCTTAACCGCCTTTTTTTTCGGGTCTATTTTTCTGTATTTTTTTTTTAAGTTTCTGCTAATTTTGGCACTTTTTACACCATTTTGATTAAGTTCTTTGCTATCGGGAACAGTCA